TTTTGAAAATTACTCTGCCTTCTTTATATAACTGGTGATTTTGAATAATATAATAACCCTCTACAACCATCTCGTTTGCCTTAATTACTTATAAATCCAAATTATGTAATCTAATTATGTAATCAATACAAACTTTCATTGTTCCTGCGGTTTTCTGGTTTCCTCATTCAACGTAAAAGCAATCAATATAATAAAAGAATTCAGCTCGAGTTTTGAATTGCAGCTTCATTGAAGACGAGGAAATGGAGTTTTGTAACACAATCTGATAAATTCGCCTGATTGTTATTGGTATAAGTATAAAACTTGGGCACTGTGGTAGAGCATAACTCCATTATAGATAAGATTTTATTGTGATAAATCACACAGTGTTATACAGTAATATTAACTGATTGCTTTTACATTGAATGAGGAAACCAGAAAACCACAGGGACAATGAAAGTTTGTATTGATTACAGATGAATACATACGTACAAATTAGAATTTGGATTTATAAGTAATTAAGGCAAACGAGATGGTTGTAGAGGGTTATTATATTATTCAAAATCACCAGTTATATAAAGAAGGCAGAGTAATTTTCAAAAAATAAATTTAACAACCTTCAACGCGATACATACATGCATACTGGATGACCAGACCAGCCAGAGATACTTCGACTTCCTTCCATGAGAGCAACAACGGTGCAAAACGAAAATCATTCTGCAATGTTCGAAGGGACCCAGTAGTCGGTGTTTTTTATACCGAGTCTCGTGAAACTAACTCTAAGACCGTTTCAGAAATAAATAGAAAACAAGAGAGTACTTACTTATATGCAATGCTGCAATAAATCAAATTTGTGACAGCAGAGTATATGGCTTTACAACTGGAAATAATAATATGGTGACTCCAGATTGACTTGACATTGAGTGGAATATGTTGCATAACCATTTTCTAACTTGACATGGCTGTAATTACTTGGCAATAGTATTTGATCAAACAGCTTCCCACTTCAAATTTGATTGATTCACACTTATATAACTTGATATGATTATGAGCAGTAATAGTTTGTGCTCGAAACGTGGTCATCAGTTAATATTACTGTATAACACTGTGTGATTTATCAAAATAAAATCTTATCTATAATGGAGTCATAATAAGTTACTTCTTAGAATGTTGTGTTGTGCTTGAATTGAAATAGAATATTAAGATTATTTATTATTCTCTTCTGATTTGACCGGTGGTAATAATATCTTCCATATTTCTGGTATTTGCATTGAGTCATTTCTGTTGCATGTATTGGGTGTAGACTCAATGAACAAGGATTCCGTAATCAACCTCTCTCTCCACCTATCCCATCCTATTGTGTGGTTGTTTGTTAATGCGTGAAGGGCAATTGCTGAGCTTTTTTCTAAATTACTTATCTTTTTAGGGTCAACCATTCTTCCCTTGGCTAAATTCTTATGTTCTGATAATCTGACTACCCCCGACCTACTAGTCTGACCTATGTAATTGACTTCACAGTCATTGTAGGGTATTTTGTAAATTATATTATTTTGTTTAATTGGGTCAATAGGGTCCTTTAACCTACAGAGCGATAGCGATTACTTTAAAAGCTTCACTAATTTCCAGTGTATGTCCGGTGTCAAACAGGTGCTTGGAAATCCCGCTTGAAAACACCTTACCTTTTCTTCTGAAGGGTGTGTTCTGATTTGACCGAGCTGTTTTTGTAACTGATTACCACAGCTTTTTGCCTAATCGGTTACATACAGAGTTTGGTCAAATTGCTCTTCAGCAGAACTCTAGGGCGTTATGTTCAGAAAATAAGATTGGCGAGGAACTCACGAGTATTTGGAAAGAAACTTATGGAGATTTGGATATCTGCGATAGTTCATATTAAAATATGGAATTGGGAAAAAAACCCACCTTGGTCGAAACGTGAAACAGTTGAAACTGACTGACTGACTGGTTTCAACGTAGAGAACTTTGCACCGATGTGCAGCAGTTCGAGTTGCCACTCTCCATGTAGCACACAAAGCAAGAAAAGGAAGACGATGGTTAGCTTTGCGTAACACATGTCCTAACCATCTCAGTCGATGTAACTTCACAGCCTCGTCTGTTGATTTCCCCTCCAACTCACCTAGCACTCGACCGATGCCTAACCTCAACATTGCTGACCCTGCTATACCACTTCACACGGGAGATAGAACGCAGACACCTATGATCAAAGACAGCTAGCTGATCTTTTCCTGTCTTCCACCCTCTATGGCCAGGTCTCACTGACCGCCATAAAGGAGGACGGAGCGGACTATCACATAACACATAACTTGCATCTTTTAAGGTAGACCTTCGATATTTGCTTTTTCTGTACGATTGTATGTAGTGTGGAATACTGAACTGCATCTTATTATGCGCCTGCAGCACGTACGCAGGTGAGAAGTCTAAGGCGCTTCCAGATATCTAACCATTATTAATCCTTGTTCTGGAATTGTAATCTGGCTGACATTGAATTAAGGAGGTATCTCAATTCATAAGGTGATTTTAAGCTAATTTATGTAGCCTTTTGTTTGAGATATGGTTTGTTTTTACTCGTGTATTATCATCATCTTAGTGGCGCTAGCTGAACTGTGTGTGGTATTCAAGGGTACCCTATACCCCATTGTCCGTGCATCTGATTGATATGCATATTCTCTGGGTAAGATGTGGTTGTCTGTTTCACTGACTGCCTCTTTTTTTCTAGCCAGTCATCTGATCTTCGGCATAGGTATCAAAGGAAGGGCACAAATGTCTACAAAGGTCTGCAGTAAGTAATCTGTGGGGAAGTGGTTTGAGTAATTCGCACGCCACATCTGTGATGAACCATCTAGGAGCAGTGATTTGATTGCCGTTAGTTGTTAAACAGATTTCAGATATTGCTCTTTGTGCTGAATGTTTGGCATGCGATTCTCTCCCCCTTGTGAAATGTAAGATGATGTTACAGGACTGGACTACACTGACTCCTAGTTTAGAAATAGGGAGTGAAGTACCATCAGCCCCAACGGGTTGATGTCTGACGAAATCTCAGTGCGGATACAGAGGGCTAGTTTCGCATATGCCAGTTTACGCCGTCTCTGGCTTAGTAGACGTGATATCCGGCTATCGAGCAAAGGGCGTGTGTACTGCTCATCAGTCCGTTCCATCCTCCTTTATGGCGGTCAGTGAGACCTGGCCATAGAGAGTGGAAGACAGGAAAAGACCGGCTAGCTGTCTTTGATCATAGGTGTCTGCGTTCTATCTCCCGTGTGAAGTGGTATAGCAGGGTCAGCAATGTTGAGGTTAGGCATCGGTCGAGTGCTAGGTGAGTTGTTGGGGAGATCAATCGACGAGGCTGTGAAGTTAAATCTCCTGAGATGGTTAGGACATGTGTTACGTACGCATGCCTAGTCATCGCCTTCCTCGATCGACGGGCAATGTTAGCTGACTGACACAGGATTGATCAGGTTAGAAAAGAGCTGCTAGTGGTGGTCAAACCAAAACATGGCCTCATCAGTCAATGAAATCCACAACAGTAAGTTTAAGCCAGCCAGTCACGTAGGGAATTAATCGCCCAACAAATATGCAGGAGAAAGTGGAGATGGATTGGACACTCGCTGAGGAGGCCGCTGGGTGACATCGCGCGTCAGGCCATCGCTCGAGTGGAACCCGAAAGGGAAGCGGCGAGTGGGACGTCAGCAAGGGTGACATGGAGGAGATCGTGTGAAGAGGAGTTGAAACAGTATGGATTAACATGGATGCAGGTGAAAAGTACAGCAGAAGACAGAAGCAAGTAGAGACGTGCAGTTGAAGCCCTATGTTCCACTAGGAACTCAAGGGAACAATAATAATAATAGTCACGTAGGGAGGTGTAGACTTCCTGGTTGGGGGTCCTTGGGACAATAAAAACTAATGAAGAGTGGAGACAATCATTGATATGGCTCAAACTCATCGTTCTAAATAGCTGGCGCAGTTAGATGCATCCACTCCTTGTAACTTGTAATTTCCGATGAAACTATATTATCCTTCGTTATAACTATTCCTTTGTCTCACACCTCTGTTTACTGTGTCTATTATGCATTTCTTCTACTGTCTTCTGTGACTTTTTGTGCTATATGGAGGGAGTGTGGCGACTTGAACTGCTGCACATCGGTGCAAAGTTCTATGTCGAAAACAGACAGACAATCCTGATTGGCTTTGAAGTCGTCATCCTTGTCGTCTATGGTAGAAATAGATCTTGTCTAGGTGATACTATTTTATAAATTCATTAACATGACACTTTTTTGATATTCTGTGAGTATCAGTTGTAGACACAGGTTTATTTTTTTTCTGGAGTTTTTGTTTTTCCATATGAATGCGACGTAACTCTTTTCACATTACTTACATTACTCAGTTTCAATATATATTCTATCATAAAATTGTATCGTCTGCAAAATCCATCCAATGGGGATTTTGTATATACTCGCGCAGATTGCCTACTCGTAGAAATTCTCCAAGTATTGGTTTTCATGGATTTGATTGGTTGGTTTCAGGTTTGATGACGAACTGACGTCATCAGTAACCAATTAAATCCCCACAAACTATTACTTGACTGGCTCTATCCAGGAATTTACTCAGGGTTTTCTTAAGTGAGAGGTTGTAGCTAGCGCGAGATCCAGGAAGTTAGGCAAGAGAACTGTTACTTTCTGATGATATTGGCTGTTGTTGACGCTGTATGTATATCGCGAATTGCCAGAAGTTGGAATTCATCGGCCATTGGATCGGCTACCAGTGGTTGATAACACAATCGGTGCTTACTGCTGATGGGTCCCAGACTAGGAGGAAACAGATGCCCAGTTCCACCCCCCGCGGTTTTCTCACTGATGTCAGCTCATGATTAAACCTTTAACAGTATTAAGAGCAGTATCCACTGCACATATTTGTGTTTAATTTTACGATTTGTCCAATATGAAATCATAAGACGCGAAAGAGATGAATTAGCTTTAAATGTCTGATGTTTTTATATATTATTGTAGGTCCAACTCCTACGAATTTGTTACATGTACGTTTTCCACAAAAACTACAACAACCATCGAATCAACAACAAATTCAACAAATTCCTGGACTACTGGGTGGAAATACTTTGAAGGCTGGATGTTCTACATCTGATTATATAGTGCCAATAAAAGCCAATGCTACTGGTGTTATGCACAAACCTAAGATAGTATCATCGTATTCCTCGGATGTATTTAGTTCTAAGATATCTTCGTCGGCGTCTTCGCCGCTCTCCTCCTCCTCCGCTACCTCCTCTTCGTCGGCGGCGGCGTCGTCGTCGTCGGTGTCCTCTTCGTCTTCATCATCATCGTCGTCGTCGTCCTCCTGCTCCTCATCCTCATCCTCATCATCTTCGTCTCTTTATGAAACTCAAGAGAAAAGTGATCAGTTGAATTCTTTCAATCCTCAACTAGTCCATTCATCGTCGTTGTCGCAATCGATGATAACATCATCAAATGAGCCTTATTCAGCATCGATTCATACTGGCGCAAAAATTCCCAATCAACTATCAGAGTATACTTCTCTTCTTCTTCTACCAGCACCACTGTTGATGATAATCCAATCACCAATAGAGTTTACAATACACCAAGTGTACTGCAGACGCATTCAACAACACTGTCATCATCGTCGTCTAATATTTCAATGAATTCTTTGCATTCCATTTCTAGACCTATTAATTATAGTAGTAGTAGTAGTATAATAATAATAATTATTTGAATCTACAACGTCCTATCCAGTTAACTACTAATACGCCTACTACTACTTCTACTACACAACCGACTAGAATGTTATATGCCCATCCAGTTAGTTGTGTTCAACAACATCCTACAAATGATACTAGTCTGTCTTCATTGTCGATGCCTTCTTCTGCTTCTTCTTCTCCTTCTTCTACTAATACATCATCCTTATCGACGACGACGGCATTGACAGCCACTGCGACTGCCACCACGAATCGTTATTTTGTTATCCGATCCAGTGCAATCTCACAAACACCTAATGTGTTTGTTTGTGCTAAACGCAGGGATTCTTCTTTTGCTACACCTTCGCCACCTACTAATAATAGTACTAATACGAATACTAATTCGCCTAATCCTCTTTTCACTCCTACGACTAATGCAACAAGTAATCTTACAAATAGATCTGAGGAAAGATGATATTTAATTTATATTGTGTTGTATATCAAGGAGTTTTTTTTTGTATTATTTCTCAAAGCATTTCACAAAAATCCCCTTACGTTCCTTTCTCTCTCTCTCTTCTCGTGTGCGTGTGCGTGTATTTTTCACAGTCTTCCAATGATGATATGTAAAATACTCGTTTCTTCAACTCTTTGCTTTGGAATATATATATAAGCCCAAAAACAATCATACCTTCCGCTGCCATGTATATTAATCACTGTTATTATTATTATTAGTTGAAAAAGAAAGGTAAGTAAGGTAAGATTCTGTCTGTTTTCTGTTTGACCATCTCTCCGCCGTCGCCGCTGCCTCCTCCTCCTCGACTGTTCTCCTTATTCTTCCTCGTTGTCTCTCCCATTTTTCTTCGTTTTTCTGGGTTGTTTTTCCTCTGTTCTCTTGCGATAATCCTAGTAATTTAAGAATACTGGTAATAGTATTTGGGATAAGTCATATCACACCACAGTTCTCTGTTGTTGTTTTCTTCTTTCTAAATCTTGTCAATTCTCAATTGTGTGTATTGTATTGCTTGTTGTTGTTGTCTTTTTTCTTCTTGGCCAATTATGTTTCATCATCTAAAATTATTAACTCTTCTTTTGTATAAGTGAGAAACACAACACAGACAACAACAACAACACAAACAAACATTTAAGTGTCTTTCCCTTCTTTTGTTTCTCTCCTTGTTCTGTTCTGTTTTTGTTTTTGTTTTTTCTGTTCTTCGTCTTTTCATATCATCTTATCTGTTCTCTCATTCTTTTACAATGTGTATAAATTTTATGCAAATATGTATGATTATTTGTGGTATATTGTTTTAATGAAGTAAGAAAATTTATTTGCTAGACCTAATGATGATGAAAATAATAACAATAATCACTTGTCTCTAACGATTTCCGCGTTTGTTTTGGTTTCTTATGACATTTTTTGTTTGTCTGAAGGAGAGAGTGTCTAGCTGTTCCCCTGCCCCCCCCCGTGTTCAGTGGTATAATATGCTGAGTTATATATATTGAGCGTAGATCAATCGATAAGGTTGTGAAGCTTAGGATATGTGTTGGGCATTCTGAGCTATTGCCTTTCCTCGTTAAAGCAATGCTAGCCGATTGAGATGGTTAGGATATGTGTTACGCATGCCTAGTCATCGAATCACTTGACCGACGGGCAATGTAAGCTGACAGGATTGATCAGGTTGGAAAAGAGCAAGCTGGTGGTGGTCAAACCAAAACATGGCCTCATCAGTCAATGAATTACACAACAGTTGGTTTAGGCCACGTGAGGAGGGAAGTGTAGACTTCCTGACTGGTTGGAGTCCTCGGGATGGTAAAACCCAGTGAAGGCTGGAGACAATTGGTGATATGGTTGAAAAACTTTGTTCTCAATGGCGCAGATGTATTCACTCTGTGTTTTGAATCTTTCTTTACTCTCTCTCTCCTCTTGCTTTGTGTGCTACATGGACAGTTGGAACTCGAACTTCTGCACATCTGTGCAAAGTTCTACGTTGAAAGCAGTCAGTCAAGCAAAGCTAACCGACATTGAGTTTGCCTGGTTGGTAAGAGGTTACGGGTGATCAAACCGTAACCTCGTATAAGTTTATAAAATTTTTGACAGTGGATTTGGAGCTGCGTAGGGAGGGAGAGGTGTAGGCTGCTGTTTGTCCAGGGTCTTCGGGATACCGAAAAAAAACCAATGGCTGGAAATTATTTTTTGATGCTGCTCAAAGTCGGTCTCAGTAACACAGATGCCTTCGCTTTCACTGATCTCCCAGGTCCATTAAATCTTCATGCCTTTTTTGTCTATGTTTCATTGTTTTTTCTGTACATTTCTGCTTATAACAGTTTTGTTTGAACTTCTTTTGTCCTGCCTTTGTACGCTACATGGAATGAGGTGATTTGAACGGTTGCACTTCTGTGCAAAGTTCTATGTCGAAACTCAGTCAGCTGTTTAGACGTGGATCATTTGGTTTAAACACTCAGTCAATGATTCAATAGGTCATGAGTTTGCATCCAGCTCCATCTACTTCAGTCTAAGCACCTAAGTAGTATCATCAGCCCCCTCACAGACTATAAGTGTGCGCCCCTAGCCCTGGGATATGAAATATCTGTTCTAGGAAATGGTGTTGAATTAAATGCGCAGACCTTACTTTTCGTAAAACCCCTGTTTATGAGCATTATTGTAACGACAGAAGACAAGAGCCAGGAAACAGATCGTTTATTGAGAAAATCAACAGATATTTATAGACTTTTATGTACATTATTATTCGTTATTTTTAGCAGAGAAGCAATGTCTTTTGATTGGTTGTTTTCTTGCTGAATGTTATTCTGTACTGCTTTGACCGTCTCTTACAAAGTTATCCATATATCTGCGAATAGTATTTGCACACGCTAAGCCTGCTGTGATTGGTTGGTGAGTTCCCCAAGCTGGCTGCCAGCCAAAATTGGTAGACAGTAATTTACGTCCCTAATATTGTTCGTGAGAAAAATAAGAATAAAGACTGACTCAGCAACCAATCACAGCAGACTTTGCGTAGGCGGATACAATTTGCAGATAGATAATCTGAACTTCAAGAAGCGGTCACAAAGAGATGAAAGATTAACGTTCAGAGAGAGAGAAACCACCAATCAGAAGACTGTGTTTGTTCGCTTACAATAATCTATAATAATGTACATGAAAATCTATAAATATCTGTTGATTTCCTAAATAAACGATCTGTTGCCTGGCCCTTGTCTTCTGTTGTTAAAATATGATAAACTCCGTGGACTTCTCTAACAGATCATTTCCACATAACAACTTTCGAAACACGAGAGAGGGCTCAGTTCAACAAACTTGTTCGTTCTCCCAACCAGAAGATTAGAGACTTTATTCTTCAGCTTCAGATACAAGCTTCAAAGTGCAACTTTGGAGATCAGCTCCATACTCAACTACGTGATCGTCTGATTGCAGGGATCAATATTCCGAAGTTAGAGAAAAATTGGACTCGGATTCCTTCCTGCATCTTTCAAACTTCTAAGGATTTATGTATTACATATGAAGATGTCAACAGTGAATATCCAGCTCCCACTACGTCAGTGTCTGATGTCATGCTGTCCAAAGTTGATAATACAGCTGTTCATAAAAGGAAATCCAAACTGTCATCCACATGTAATGGAATGCAAACAGAAAGCAAAAACATCAAATCGAGTTATTCATGTGGGAAGATTCATCTACGAAGCACTTGCCGTTTTCGGGGTGCTAGGTGCCATAAATATGGTAAAAGAGGTCACATACAGTCTGCTACTCAGAATTCTCATGATTCTCCCAATTTGTCTGGTAAAATGCAGTCAATGTCTCTTTCAACTTTTCACAGCATTGAATCTCATCTGATGAGAACCTTCATTACAAGTTCAAGCAAGTTTCACTGTTTTATAATTGATACTGAGAGTACTGAATCTATAATTTCTAAGAAAGACTTACGATTGCTTTGTAAGCATGCCCAGGTAGACCCTACTACTAGTTCCATTACAGGTATTACTGGTCATAAACTACCTCTTATTGCTACTACTAACATTGGTTTGAAATCAGACAGTGGTAGTTTTGTGAATATCCCCTTTCTTGTTAGTGAATATGGTCCATCTTTTGTTGTTACACTATGTCTCAGAATCCATCATCAAATTATAGACTATTATCTGTCGTTGCGTTAATTGCTGTAGTCGAACCGCCTAATTGTGTGAATGATGTTGAGCAATCAATCACATAGTCAGGGATCGTTAATAAGTTATAGAATTGTTAATAAATTGAATTTAAAACCCTGTAAAAAAAGTGGCTGTTTTCTATCTCAGCAGCTGTTAATCACATACATCTCGAGTTGTGCATAAGAAATAAAATATTGCACATCATATTCTGATCTGACTTCTTCCTACAGTATTCATAGTGTAACAACAGACGACAAGGGCCAGGCAACAGATCGTTTATTAAGAAAAATCAACACATATTTATAGATTTTAATGTACATTATCGTAGATTATTGTTAGTAGAAAATACAGTCTTTTGATTGGTTGTTTCTCACAGAAAGTTAACCTTGCATCACTTTGTGGCTGTGTCAGATCATCCATATGCTAACTGTATCCGCCTGCGCAAAGCCTTTGTTCTCATTTTCTCACCACTAACTAATATTGGGGACATAAACATTGACGTCAATTACTGTCTACCAACTTTGGCTAGCAGCCAGCTCTCACCACAATAGGCATATTTGTCAATTGTGAGGTTATACTGTCTAATTGACATTATTCCCTAGCATACCTACGTATCAATTTGTACTTTTTAATAACAAACTAGCAATGCGATCTCGGTGAACGGCACTCATTGGCTGATTTTTTAATTTACCACTTTTAGTGCACCTGCATTTTGATTGGTTCTTCAAGGTCTACTGGCTTTTTTTAATCGTAGTGTGGTGAGAGCGGTCTACTAGCCAAATTGGTAGACAGTAATTTACGTCAATATTTACGTTCCCAAGATTTGTCGTGAGAAAATGTGAACAAAGATTGATTCAAAACCGACCACAGCAGACTGTGCGTAGGTGGATGCAGTTAACAGATAGAGGATTTGACATTCAAGAAACAGTCACGAAGAGATGAAAGATTAATTTTAAGTGAGAAACAACCAATCGGAAGACTGTGTTTGTTTGTTTAAATATCCATAGTAATGTACATGAAAATATATATAAATATGCGTTGATTTCCTTAATAAATGATCTGTTGCCTGACTCTTGCCTTCTGTCGTTACAGTAGTACCGTTTGTCAGTGTCGTAAAGCATTTCTAAAAGCTGTACCCTTTGGTTAAGGTTGCTGGTATGTTTAAGGAGTAATTATCAGCATAACTGAATAGTGTATAATAATGTCTTTGAGGTGCGTCGGTGGCACAGCGGTAGAATGCTCGCCAACCACGCAGGTGATCCGGAGTTCGATCCCTGGCCGATGCACTCCTTTACCTCGCTAAGCCAGTAATAAGACTGGTAAAGAGGGAAAGTTGGGGGGGGCATGAGGCTAGCAACCCCATCCCGTAAAAGTAAACACCCTTACTACCTTGAAACTTCAAGCCTCTAGTTTGAAGCCCCCTGTGTTCCACTGGGAACGTAAAGGAATAAGAAAAAAATGTCTTTGAGCGTGATAGTTTATTCTCAGCATATATTTTTTATATTCACCTTAGAGAAAGAAACATCGTTAGTTGCTTATAGGCCGTCATTTAATTATTTCTGATGTATACGTTTCTTCACTCAGTTTCCATTATTAGTTTTGATTGTATATTTTATACGAGGCAAGCACGTTGCCTTTCAGTCACTCACTGGGTTAGAATCCAATAAGGCATATGACCTTTAATCTGTACGTTTGGATTTTCAATACAAACGTCATTTCAGTCAGTTCTTCTATACGGATCAGAAACTTGGCGGGTCACAAAGAATATTTCCAACAGCCTGTTGCAGACCTTTATCAACAACTGTCTTCGCTCTATATTGAAGATCAGATGGCCGGAAAGAACAAGAACCAACAAGAAACTATGGGAACAAACAAAACAAGAACCAATCGCCCAACAAATATGCAGGAGAAAGTGGAGATGGATTGGACACTCGCTGAGGAGGCCGCTAGGTGACATCGCGCGTCAGGCCAGTGTTCGAGTGGAACCCGAAAGGGAAGCGGCGAGTGGGACGTCCAAGGGTGACATGGAGGAGATCGTGTGAAGAGGAGTTGAAACAGTATGGATTAACATGGATGCAGGTGAAAAGTACAGCAGAAGACAGAAGCAAGTAGAGACGTGTAGTTGAAGCCCTATGTTCCACTAGGAACCCAAGGGAACAATAAATAATAAAATAAATAAATTTC